TTTTCTTGTGTGGAATCGCTGGATTATATCTTGTATGTTTAATGTTTGACAAAACTGCCTAACTGCTATTTTACAACGTCCTGGTCAGTATTGTCTGAGCATTTCAGTTCTCCACGACCTCTCCAGGGCTTAGTACTATCAGTCTTTTTAATTTTAGCTATTTTATTGTGTTCGTAATGGTATTTTATTCTATATTTTAACAGCTTTATTGAGACACAACTCACATACCATACCGTTCATCCATTTCAAGTGTAGAGTGGCTTTATATATATTCAAAGTTATTCAGTGATCACCACAATTAATTTTAAACATTTTCATCACCCCCCACACACACACAAAAAAAACCCTGTACCCCAACCACACAGCCCCAGCTCTAGACAACCACTAATCTACTGTCTTTCTCTATACGTTTGTCTGTTCTAGACATTTCATGACTGGAACCATGCAGTCTATGTGAGGTCCTTTGTGACTGGCTTCTTTCACCTCTGTTTTCAGGGTTCGTATATGTTATATCATGTACCAGTACTTTATTTCTTTTTATTGCTCAGTGATATTTTATTATGTATATACAACATTTTATTCACCACTTGATGGACATTGGGATTTTCCCCTAATTTTGTGCTATTAGGAATTATGCTGCTATGAACATTTTTGTGCAGGTTTTTATATATAAATATGTTTTCATTTCTCTTGGGTATGTACCTGTGAGTGGAGTTGCTGGAGAATATTGCTAGCTCTGTGTTTGGCTTTTTAAGAGCTTGCCATGCTGTTTTCTAGTGACGCTGCATGACTTGACATGCCCACTAGCACTGTATGAGGGCGCCACAGTTCCTCTGCATTGTCATCGGCACTTTTTGTACCTAGCCATCCTAGTGGATGCTGAGTGGTTTCTCATTTTTTTAGTTCAAGTATAATTGACATACAATATTATATTAATTTTAGGTGTACAGCATAATGATTTGACATTTTTGTACATTGCAAAATGATCACCACAGTAGGTCTTACCATCTGTTCCAAAACAAAGTTATAAAACTTTCTTAGCAGCTTTCAAATTTGCAATATATTGATTATAGTAACCATGCTGAACATAACATCCCCATGACTTACTTATTTTTATACTGAAAGTTTGTACCTCTTGATCCCCTTCACCAATTTTGCCTAAGCCCCAACACTGCCCCCCGTCCCCAGCAATGACCAGTCTGTTGTCCGTATATGAGATTCGTTTGCTTGTTTGTTCATTCGTTGTTTTAAGATTGCATATGAGTGAAATCATACAGCATTTGTCTTTCTGTCTGATTTATTTCACTTAGCATGATTCCCTCCAGGCCCATCCATGCTGTTGCAAATTTCTTTCTTCTTTTTTTTTAATGTCTGAGTAGTGTGCCATTTTGTGAGTGTGTTTATCATATCACATCTTCTTTCTCTATTCATTCATTGATGGGCATATATTTAGATTATTAACAAATCTTGGTTATTGTAAATAAATGCTGCAGTGAATATAGGGGTGCATATAGCTGTTAAAATGAGTGTTTTCATTTTCTTTGGACAAACACCCAGGAGTAGAATTGCTGGATCATGTGGCAGCTCTATTTTTAAATTTTCGAGGAACCTCCATACTGTTTTTCCGTAGTGGCTGCACTAGTCTGCATTCCCACCAACAGCGCACGAGGATTCCCTTTTCTCTACATCCTCTCCAGCACTCGTTATTCCTTGTCCTAGTGACACTGCTCTTCTGACAGGTCTTGTGGTTTTGATGAGCTTTTCTCTGATGACCATAATGCATTTCATGTGCTTACTAACAGCCATTTGTATATCTTCTTTGGAGAACTGTATGGAAGTTCTCTTCCCATTTTTAAATCAGGCTGTTTCTCTCTTTTTTTTAGTCCTTGGCCAAAGATACACTTACCAATTTTAGAGACAGGGAGAGAAACATCGATGTGAGAGAGAAACATCAACCAGTTGCTTCTTGCATGCACTGTGCCCGAGGACTGAACTCGCATCCCTGGCAGGGAACTGAGCCCGAGACCTTTCATTTTACAGGATGGCACCCCATCCGACTGAGTTACACCAGCCAGGGCTCATTTTTTTATTACAGAGTTACATGATACAAGTCCCCGATCAGATACATGATGTGTAAGTTGTCTCCAGTTCTGTGGATTGTCTTTTCACTTTTTTGATGATGTCCTTCGAAGCACAGACTTTTTAATGTTGATGATGAGTAATTTATCTATTTTGCTGTTGTTGCTTGTGCTTTTGGTGTCCTATCTTAAATGATTGCTTAATCCAGGGTCATAAAGATTCCCACTTGTATATTCTTCTAAGAGTTTTATGGTTTTAGTTCATACATTTGTGTTTTTGATCCATTTTGAGTTAATTTTTGTATATGGTGTGTGAGGTAGGAGTCCAACCTCACTCATTTTATTTGGATACTCAGTTGTCCTAGCACTCTTTGTTGAAGAGAATGTTTTTCCCCCATGTAATAGTCTTGGCATTTTTGTTTAAAAATCGGTTGCCTATAAATTTGAGAGTTTATTTCTGGACCCAATCCTAGTCCAGCAATTTCTTTCTATTCTTATGTCACTACCTCATGGCTTTAATTTGGATTTTTCTAAAGATTAATGATGTTGAGATGTCTCCCCAAGTGATTATTTTTGCCATTTGTCTGTCTGCCTTGTTGAAGTGGTCAGATCTCTTGCGCTATTTTTTAAAAGTTGATATTTGACTTACTGAGTCATAAGAGTAGTTATAGCTGGCAAATATTTCACAAATATTTTTTTTACCTTTTCATTTTCTTAACAGTTTCTCTAGCAGCATACTCTGCCGCCATTCAGTGGATTCTAAAAGCCTTGTGAAATCAGTTTGGCAGCTGATTGGATAAATAGGGCTTGAGAAAGATCAAGATCTTGGAGGTGGTGATACAATTAATTGTAGGAAAGAGGTTGTCAGTTTGGGATGCACATGGTCCCTGACTAATGGTGGTTCCAGTTATGTTTTTTCGCCTTTATGATGGTGTGAAAGCAGTGTGCGTTTAGTAGAAACTGTACTTCAAATTTTGAATTTTGGTTTTTTCCCCAGGCCAGCTGTATACGGGGTACTATACTCCCTCATGTTTCTGGGCAGTGGCAACAAGCCATTAGCTCCCAGGCAGCCACGGGATCATGAGGGTGAACACTGCGGTATTAAATGCATTTTCAACTTAGGATATTGTCAGCTTACTATGGGTTTATTGTAATGGGACTCCACCATAAGTCGAGGAGCATCTGTATATCGAAATCGAGATTCCTAGTGACATCCATATAGAAATGTACTTTCTAGTCCCTCAACCTGGAAACTTATTTCTGGATGCTCTCAGAGCTCATTCACTTTGTTGTCATTCAGGTCTCTCCTAAAATAGGGCTTCCCTGACCATATTATCTAGTGCTGCCCCTTCTAAGCATCACTGCCTATATTATATTGATGCAGGTATTCCAGAGGTGTGGGGAACCCAAAGAGTCTGCCACCCACTGTGGGTTCTTGGCTTGGCATGGCAAAGAATTCAAATGTGACCCAGCATAGAGTTTAAAGTAAAAGCGACCTTATTAGTGAAGCAGTGAGACAGAGAGGGAGCTGCTCCACAGACCAAGCAACCCTCCTTCAGCAGACTCTGCTTCCTTTATTGGGATTCGTTTAATTGGGGGTTAGGATATTCAGTGAGGGGGAGAAATAGGATCCCCTGGAAAAGGGGTGGAAATTTCTCAGAGGAGCTCTATTGGCCATTTTGTATTCTTATATGAGCTTTCTGTTTTTGATCCTGGCTTCACGACAGGTTGTGTTGTTTAGCATGCTAACATATTACAGTGAGCATATAATTAGGCTAGAGGTTGCTGTTAGGTGAAATTAGTCGCCATGTTGTATCCAGCCGGTCTCTGCTGGTTTTAAGCCGTAAATCAGATGGGGAGTGGTCCTCCTCTTGACAGTTTCTGTAGCTACTATCCATTGCAGCTGTTCTGCCAGTCTACCACAGTGATTTTCAACCTTTGTGATCTCATGGCACATCAAACTAATTACTACAATTCTGCAGCACTCCAAAACATTATTTTTTTGCCAGTCTGACCCAAAAAAAGGTATAATTTTGCTTCTTTCCTACCAGATAACTATCGTTCTGTTGGCTGTTATTATTATTTTTAATTTGACAATCTAAGGGAAAAGAGGTCAGTGTGCCTGACTAAATAGTCAGGTAATACACCCTGACTGGTGTGGTTCAATTGGTTGGGCGTGGTCCCAAAAAGTGAAAGGTCGCTGGTTTGATTCCCAGTCAGGACACATGGAGTGCGGGTTGAGTCCCTGGCCTGGGTGAATGTGGAAGGTAACCCAGTTGATGTTTCTCTCTTGCGTCAATGTTTCTTTCCCTGCCTTTCTCCCTTCCCCTGACTCTAAAACTAAATAAAATCTTTTTAAAAATAGGCATTACACGTTTTAAAAATTCTTGTGGCACCCCAGTTGAAAAATTGCTGCCCTACTGGAGTGTAAGCTTCATTAGCATAGGATCCTCTTCCGTCTTGGTCTCCAGTGTAGCATCAACATTTCCCCTCTGAATTAGCTGTGGTTCCCATCTGTCAGATTCTCATTTTCTAAGCTTATTTTATTGGCATCATAAACTATTCATAATGTTTAAAATTGATCCAGAAATTACAGTTAAAACAAAAAACAAAACACTGCATTTTTGTTTGAGACTTTTTACCTAAAGGTTAAGAAATGTCATGAAAAATAATCTGTAAGAACTTTTAACCCAGTTGTGTTTACCTCTTCCTCATCACTGATTTCTGGTAATTTATACTGATTTTAAATGCATGACCATTAGAGATTGGAAGGGGATGCATCTTTACTACTTTATACTAAGAAATCCTAGCCACCTGCAGAGTTGGATATCATATTTAATTAATCTTTTCCTCCCACTCCCTCTCTCTAGAAAACACTGCAGACTTTTATACTTGATTCATTGCCGCTTTTCTGTTTTACAGAGTAAGAAAACCTGAGTTCTGTGAAAAACCAGAGAAGAGAAACTAAAAGAATAGTAGACAAGGTTTTTCCAATTTGCATAATGTAAGTTCTTTTCACTATTCTTGGCCTGAATCTTATGTTAGTTGAAAAAGCTGTTTCTATGGAAACAAATAGTCCAACTTCTTAGAATGTCAGAGGAATGCTGATCTCTTAATGAGACTTCCCAGCTGCTGGTCAAAGGGCATTACTTGTGGGAGAAGGGGAGGAAGGATAAATAGGAAAAAATAATCTAGAGTTCTGGACTCCGGTGTCGACCAACCATGTTTATGCATATGAAGTGTATGTTTTACATTTTCCACTGTCTAAAAAGTAGGATACCGATTATATAGGAAATTGCCTTCCTGCGTTGTAAGCTGTCATGTTTTTCAACTCTCACACAAATGGTTCTGTTTCTTGGTGTCAGTTTTTCAGTGGGCCACTATTCCTCGTGCTATTTCACACTCCCCAATTTCGGTAATTTGTATTTATTGAAGCTTATTTAGCCTCTTTTTCTGTAAGATGTAGCTGGTTCACATAGGCAAAGCCCTTTCTTCCCCACTAGTTTGAAGTTAATGTTGAAACAGTTTTGGCCTGCCAACCTGAAAATTCATTTTCTTGTCTTGTGGACTATGTAAAGACTTCTGGTTGGTTTTTAAATTTTTTCTTCAGTTTTTCTTCCACCAGGGAGGGAGGGGTATGAGCTGGGACTCTGATGAGGATTTGAAATATGGGCTTTTAAGGCATTTAAGAAATGCATTATTTATAATTAGAGTATTGAGAAAAGAGGAATACTTTTTAAAAGATTTTATTTATTTATTTTTAGAGAGAGGGGAAGGGAAGGAGAGAGGGAGAGAAACATCGATGTGTTTTGCCTCTCACATGCCCCCAACCCAGGACCCAGTGTAGGCATACATCCTGACTGGGAATGGAACCCGAGACCCTTTGATTCACAGGCTGGCACTCAGTCCACTGAGCCACACCAGCCAGGGCAGAAAAGAGGAATAGAAACTTATAACTGTTGTCTGCGTAAGGCAGCCTCTTACTTACATAAAAGGAGGTAATTCTCTAGTTCAGTCATTACCAGCTTCTAAATTGTCAAACAAAGGCCTTCCTGCCTTCCTTCCTTCCTTCCTTCCTTCCTTCCATCCATCCATCCATCCATCCATCCATCCATCCATCTTAATTTTGAAACTGTAGCACATAGCATAATGTTTCTGACTCTAGAAGACCTTTTTTGAATCTTTCATGGCCTTCATGAATTAACTTGTGAGGGGAGTTATATGTGGAGCGTTGTATGGTAAGATTATAACCACGGTGGTCTGGAAAAATTTACCCAGGGAATAAGGGTTTGTAGTAGATCTTGAAGGCAGAAGAGGAAAGGAGAATCAGTTCCTATTTTGTAGTTCATAAGGCATTTAGGCAGGAAGAAAAAAAGATATGGGACAGGCACAGGTGAGGAAGCTAACTTAAAAGGCTTGTGCAGGAACATAGTAAACGATACAGTTAGAAAGTTGGGGTTTACCTTGTGATTTCGAACTCTATTCTGTAGGTAATATGAAAGCTATCAGAGGTTCTAAACAGTAGTGATTTGCTCATATACTTAATTTAGCATTTATCTCTTACTGGATATCCTGGCTGTAGAGATCCTTGTAGAGACTAAGACAGGTCCCTGCAAATTGGATCATTTACCTGTCATTTACCTGTGTGATCTAGAGTCACTGTGCAATTAGTGTCCCAGACTAAACCCATAGGACCATTTCATTTCTCACCCCTCCTAATTCTCCCTCTCCTGTAGTCTCTCGGTCTTGGTTAATGACATTGCCATCCACCTGGAGACCCAAAGATAGTGGCCCTGAAGTCACACCATCTGGAGTCATATCCTGAAGCCTCCTGTTTGCTTGGCCCTGTGCTGTGCAGTGTCGCAGGTCCAGAGACAAGTCAGTCCATGTCCTGACCTCTAAGGGCTTCTAGTTTGATAGGCAGATAGTGATACAAGTAGTTGCAATCCAGTTTGATCAGAGATGTGACCGGGATTGTGGAATTTCCGAAGAGTTACATATCCAGTTGGGGAGTCATGGAAATCCAGAGGGGAAAGGAGGGTAGTCAGGCATTAGATCCTAGGCAGTCTGAACTGGTTCTGTTCTAAGCATTCTGCTGTCTTGGGTAACTAGGTGGGTAGAGTGGCATTAATTAGACTTGAGAATGGAGGAAATGGAGGAGAGGATTAAAGGGAAATACGAGTTTAATTCTGGACACAATAATTTCTAAATTAATGTAGGACATTTTGGCAGGTAAACTAATAGGCAGGGATCTTGTCTCTGTAATCGTAGTACCTAGCCAGGTGTAAATGCTCAGTTAAAGTTGTGTGCAGATCACCCCTCTTCTCTAAATCTTTGATAGCTTTTCTACTGTCTTGAGTATTAAGGACTTATATTTAAGACCGTCGTTCTTAAATTGAACCCAAAGTTTCTAGCCACTATCCTGTTGTACGAGCTGATGGCTTTAGTTAAACTTGCCTTATATATACTTTCTTACACCTTTCCTGTTCCTGCCTTTTTGGTGGCGTCTTCCTTATTTCTCCATCCTGTCTTCAGCGCCCACTTTCACCTTCATTCCTCATCTACAAAACAGGCATATTCGTACATACTTTTATAGTTGCGATGAGGATTAAATGAGTGAGTACTGTGTAGCACTTGCAATACTGTGCAGCATGTAAGGGCTCAGTAAATATTGTAGTTGTGGTTACTACTGTTACTATTTCTTTGTTTTCTTCTTCTTGCCCTGCTGCATGAAATACACACCAAGTTCTAGTACTTCTGTAATTTACATATTTCTTTAATATAACTTTTCTTAATTTCACTCTTAGCTCAGAACCACGTTTCTTACAGTTGCCTTTAAACTGATCTCATTGTCACCCTTTAGTCAATCCTATGCACTTCACCAGAGTTATATTTCTCTAAGAGTGCATGTGATTATTGCCATCTCTTGCTTTAACTCCTGTAATAAGTTTTACTACTTTCAGGATAAAGATCAAAGTCTTTAGCTCTTAAACCCTTCTCGGTCCGGACCCCTGCTTGCCTCTCCACTTTTATCATTATTCATGTATGACATGCTCCCATTGTCCCATTCAGCCTTATTGCATTCTGTTCTGCTTTTTGAAAGTGCCATACTCTCATACCCCATCTTCTTGTTGGTCTTGTGATTTCCTCTGCCTGGAACAGTCTCTTCCACCTGGCTAAATTTAGTTCTTTGAAATGCCTCTCAAATACATCCTTATCTTTTGAGTATTTGCTGTGATCCCTCACCACAAAGTTTTAGAGTCCTTTGTGAATCCTCTTTGAATTTATGACATTTCTAAGTTTAGTTGAGCAGGTATTTATTGTGCATTTCCTTGTTACATGTATATTGTTAGGCTCTGGGGGATATAAAAATAAGACATGACACCTGTCTGAACGAGTTTAGAATGTAATGAGGAGAAACCACTGGGGAAGAATAATCATTCATTTATTTGCCTTGCTGTCTCTCCTGGTAGACTGAACACTCCAAGGGAATCGACCAAAATGGGATTTTAAGTGAATTAATACCAGGTCGCAGAAGTTGTGCCGGGAGTCAAAGGCCAGATCCAGAGAGATAAGCATGGGAACTCTTACCCAGGTCACCTGGCCCAGTCCGCCCCCCATGATCTGGCGTAGTGAATGTGGACATAGTCTTACGGTTTTTAAGGTGACAGTTTTAGCTTCAGATAATAATTTTTGTAGACTGTCTTATAAAGTAAAAAATACATTATTAAATTTGATTTTAATATTCAGTAAATATTGTAAATAAAGTTGAGAGTTTTAACTTTCTGGAAATATGTACACGCCTACATTTTTAAAATTAAGAACAGAACTACAGTAACTCTTACATAAATTTCTGCTTGCTCGTAATGAAAACTTCAAATAAGCTGAATTTGCATTTGCATAAATTAAGAATTTCCCAGTGTAATTCCAGTGGCTGTTATTTTAGTGAAAGTGAAGGCAATCTTATGATAATAAAGTATTTATGTGTAAATTACATGGTTATATAGAAAGAAGATAAGATTTGGATAGAAGACTGAAAAATCTCCCAAAATTCTTGTGAAGTATAATGCCAGTGACTCATGTAGTTTGTATGTCTTTTCCTGGTGGTTGGTTCTAGTGATTTTCCTGATCGTTTAGGTGGGTTTGTGTTCAGTCTGTGGCAAGATGTTTGACAGAAGTTTGGCTGGCATTTGGAATTTTGTCTGAAAACTCAGCTTTTGCTTAGTAGGCATGTGCTCTAACAAACCTGTTCACTGAAATGGTGTTCAAGTCAAGGAGGTAATAGGTTTATTATTGTAAATATTTTTAAAGTCTTGAGAAAAAAGAAAACTAATTAGATTTAATGTGTGGGTTTTCACATATATAAACAATCTGCCTTTGTATGCTCAAGAAATGGCTTGATGAAAAGCCAGTGTCATAAAGCAAAATATTTTTCTTGTCTAAAATATACTGAAGGATTTTTAAAAGAATTAAATTAATACTAAGAATTAATATAAATATATTTTTATTTAAAAACTTGCACATATTATCATTTAAAACTCAGAACAAATCTGTGAATTCATTTTCCAAAGGAGTCTGAGGTTCAGAGAGAGAGACTGACTAGTCTTAGATCATGAAGCTCTCTAGAGGAAATGTCAGAGCCAGAATTAAAATTCCGTTTTCTGGCCTCTGAGTCCAGTATGTTCTTCTTATTTTCTATATAGTATGGCTTTAAAATGTTTTCCAGTGGTAACGGCTACCATTTTTCTCTGAATGCACTTCATAAAGAATTAATCCTAATTCTTTTGTTAGTGTGACCAAGTTATACACTGATAACCTACATGGTCTTTTTCTCACTACGGTGAGATAAAATGTGGTTTTACCCCGTAGGTGCCTTAGCTGCTAATTAAAGTTTCTTTTTCACTGGGTATCTTCATTTTATAAACTCCTAAAAGTGGATCCCCTAGCCTTTACCTCGTTTGAGCCACCAACATGACATGCTGCCAGGTTTTTTTTTTTTTAGAAATTAACAAGGCAGTTATTTTAATCTCATGTGTATTAATTGAGTGTAAAGTACTGTGTTGAGACAGTTATACAAAGATGATTAAAGTATCTTTATACCTTAAGCAACCTATTCTCTACTAAACCAGCACCCAAACTTTCTTATCTTCTAATTTTGCTAAACCTTCTAATATATTGTTTTTCTCAGCTGTAAAATAACAATGTGTTTCAGATTCTTGGGAGGAAACTTATTTTGGGGGGAAGAGGGGTGACACCTTGAATTTCTCAGCAATGTCTATAAAATGAAAGGAAAATACTTTGTAGGGCAACAGAAAGTACTTAATCTAATATTATGTACTTATAGGATATGTTCTATATTGTATATAGGGATTAGAAGTGGGTTATGTGAAGTTTTTTATATTGTAATTCTTATACTTTTTCTCCCCATCTTTCCTCTTAGATTTCCTTCATGGATACATTTTCATAGCATTATTATGTGATGGGAGAAGTTTTTGGTTTTTTGTTTTTGTTTTTTTTTTGAAGTAACATGGATTTTATACTACAGAATCAAGAGATTGGCTTTATAGGAAAAATTGATATATAAAAGTGGTACAGGTTTTTATAGCTAACCATGACAACATCCCATATGAATGGGCATGTTACTGAGGAATCAGACAGCGAAGTAAAAAGTGTCGATCTTGCATCACCAGAGGAACATCAGAAGCACCGAGAGATGGCTGTTGACTGCCCTGGAGATTTGGGCTCCAGGATGATGCCCGTACGTCGAAGTGCACAGCTGGAGCGTATTCGGCAACAACAGGAGGACATGAGGCGTAGGCGAGAGGAAGAAGGGAAAAAACAAGAACTTGACCTTAATTCTTCCATGAGACTTAAGAAACTAGCTCAAATTCCTCCAAAGACTGGAATAGATAACCCTATATTTGATACAGAGGAAGGAATTGTCTTAGAAAGTCCTCATTATGCTGTGAAAATACTAGGTAAGTAAAAACAATAATAGAAAATATTCTGCTTTGTTTCTGTTGTCTTAACATAAATGTGTATAGGATGGCAGAGGAGTATAAAAGAATATAAAATTCTTAAACTTTAAATTTAAAGCCTTGAAATTCACCTTTTATTTCAAACTCAAGCTTTTATATCAAAATTACTCAAGCAATTTTTAGATTTTGAACTTCTGATTTCATTAAAGTTTGTAAAATAGTAATAAAATTAATATCTGTATCTTAAAACAATGTCATTACGAAGAACTGATGCTGTTTGTATGGCATTATACACATAAAACATGGCTCAAAATTCCACTCTACCCTGTGCTGTCTATTCTAATACCATTCGAGGGGGTGGGGGAAGCTAGTGCTATGAGATTTTAATAGATACAAACAAAAAATGTTCTGTGATCAAATAAATTTTAAGAGCACGTGGGTTGAATATGTTAAACAGCTTCTCATTACAGGACTTCTTAGAGCCTTTAGAATGCTAACATGCATTATGAGTCTACAATAGAGATTAGTATCAAGTGTAAATTTCCAAACTTAGTGGGGTTTTTTGTTTTTGGTTTTTTTTTTAGATTTTATTTATTTATCTTTAGAGGGGAAGGGAAGAAGAGAGGGAGAGAAATATCAATGTATGGTTGCCTTTTGTGCGTCCCCTGCTGGGAACCGGTTTGCAGGCCCACGTTCAATCCACTGAGCTACACCAGCCAGGGCGAAAACTTAAGAGTTTTTGATTATCAAACTTATCGCCCTTCCTTCCTGCACACACAAGAGGGGCACTGAACTAGTGTTAAGAGTGTACGTTAATTTGTATTCCCTTGAATGCCATAACAAACACCATTTTATGTCACATCCACAGTAGTCCTGTTAACAGGGCTTTGTAATTGCCATTTTGGAGATAAATAAATCGAACCTCAGTTAAATCACCTGTTTAAGACTCCGCTTATAAGTGGTGGAGCCAAATTAGAATTCCCCTGTTCTGGATATGGAGTCGGTATATTATACAGAGCAGAGAGGGTTCGGGCGGAGACTGGCATCCTGTCTGTTCTCCACTCACTGGTCCAGAGCTCTGGCTACCAAGAGGAGGACTGCCTTTTTCTGGTTTTCCTGAAGGTACCTATGTACTGGATTTGCTTCCCTCTAAGTCTCCATATTCTAAATCTTGAGCAGTTTCTTCTACACCACATCATCTGCTTCCTTTCTTTGCTGCAAATTTATTGAGGACCCACAATAGTTGACAGAAAGCAATGTACGTGCTTCTCTGGTGTTTGAAGAAACATTGACGTGTTCAGCGATAGTGAAATCTGCTGAATGCCTTCAGGTGTCAATAGTGAAAGCAAAAGATGACATGTTTTCTGATACATTATCTGAAGGAATTTTATGTTCCTTTTTTTCTGAATAGTTTTGTTAGAGGAAAAATATTTCCCGATTATTTCTAACTGGCTCTCATTTCTCACCACCCCATTTTTTAAAATTAAAATATTCTGTCCAGTATTCTCTGTGGCTTGGGAAAAGTTTACACTGTAATACATCTAGCCCAAGCCTGGAAGATTCTTCTGTTTTTCCATTAAATTACCTTAAGAGTACTGTATTATTTGTCCATTTGCTCTACTTAGATCAGGCGTAAATGTCCATCTAATAAATTAATATTCATGTAACCTCAGTAAAGAAACAAATTTAGCTTAAGCCAGATTCACTTTGGAATTAATTAATTTGTTTATTTGCCTAAGCAAGAAAACTGCAGATCATTTCTCTTAATTTTTTTTTTTGCCTTTTTCTCTTTCTGTTTGTATGTTGGCGGCTAACTTATCTACAAGTATAGATTAAAAAACAGCTATATATTCTTCCAACTTGCAGTTCATGGTAGCTGGTAAAAATACCTTTGTGCAATCCTTGAATTTAAGGCTGTTTTACATATTTTAAAGTAATTTGAAATGTAGTACTAGGTGTCTAATTCATTTTTTGGATAGGAGAATATTAGTATGTTGAGAAGTAAGTTATAGATTTAATGTTAATATACTCAACACAAATGTATTAATTGTAGGAACCATGAAAAGTTAATGGTTAAAGTTAAACGTTACTATTGATCAAAGCTTTAGTGTTTGGATATACTCATTTTTAAGTTTTTATTTTAAAATGAAGTTTAATAGCTTTGTAAGAAACATTCTTTTCCTATTCTTAATTTGCCAACACATCATACTACGTCAGACATACTCCCTTAAAGTCACATGTGTCTCTCTGCCAGTGATTAACACACACACACACATGCCAGGAGACGGTTTCTCAGCCCTTTTTACAGCCAGCAGCAGCCTTATTTTAATTGAGGAAAGAATGGGGCGGCTGATTTATTTCTTTCAGAGGGAGCCTTCAGTTTCCAGGTGACATCATTGATCTGTGAGTAGAGAAAAGAATTTTTCAAGACCCGAAAATGTAATTGGAAAGGTTAGGTACTTTAATGGGCTGGGTGGTGGTGTTTATTGAAAGGAGTTATAAATGTGGCACTGCGCAGTACCAGAGGTGCAGGGAGGGAGGAACCACCCTACAGTTCCCCAAAGCAGATGCACCATTTCACATTCCCACCCAGAATGCACTGATGACAGCTCTCCTAGTGTGAGTGTGCGTGTGCCTTGAATTTTCAGACTCTAGAAATGTGCATAAGGTAAGTAGGTATAGTTTTCTAACACACTTAGAATAAGTAGTATCTGTTACAGAGTAAACTCTATGCTAAATTTGTTAAATAAATACACAAGTCACAAACGTGAAAAAGTTTCCGGATGGATTTGACAGAAAATATTCAGAAAGTATAAATTGCATTTTCTTGTTTAAAAGCACTCAGAACCTTATTAGAAATTAGAAAATAGTGATGTGGGAACTTAATTCAAATGAATAATTTAATAATAGTATTATTAAGTATAAACAATTTTGACATATTCAAAATATTTTTGAACTAATTCCAAATAGTAATTAATATTAGTATTATAAATTATAGAGAATTTTGATATATTGGGGACGCCTTCTGTGAAATTGGCATGAGTTATCAAAACTTGCTACAAATAAAATATCATTGTCTAGTTTCATTCATAAACAATCTTGAGAGAGAAATCCTAAGAGAAGAACCGAATGCAAGTTAAAGTGGGGTGAGGTAGAGCAGAGTCATTCTCAGAAATGTCTAGATTATAGATTTCACTGCGCTGGTTTTTGTGTCCACAAATAAGTAATTTTGGGCCACAGTTGTGGACAAGTAAATACAATAGACAATATTTAAAGGAAATAAAGTCAAACACTGCAGTCTGTCATATATGTGACTGTATGATTACTGCATCTCTGAGAAGAGTTTACGCAAGGCACACTCAACCACCATACACACACATGGTAAGCTGTCTGTTTTGTGGTTAATAAACAGACTGCTGAAATTTGTGATTAGGAGCTGTTTTATTTACACCATAAGAAATGGTGTACATATTCATTTTTTGAATGAATAAAAAATACTCATTTTTTATTTACACCATTTCTTCACATGCTATTAATGTGAAGAAAAAATTTTAAAAACACACCAAGGAGAAGAAAACTATGAATAGAATATTTTTATAATATTAATAATAGCATGTTTCAATATTGATTAGTGTCTACATATTTTTTGCGAGATAGTTCTGAATATTCAAACTGTTAAGTCAAAGGCACTTTTGTGTTTGACATTATAAAGTAAAATATCTCTTCCACATTTATTTCTGACAGTGTTTGACTTTTGATTGATTGTGGCATATTCTGAAATATTGATGGACTGTGACAAACTTCTTTTAATATTGGCTTTAAAATAAAGTTCATTTAAAGCCAACAAACAATTTTACTTGCAATATACCTTAAGGTGAGCCTACTCCTGAGAAATTAGTTATTCTTACCATTAAATTTATACTCAACTGCTATAGGTACTGTAGATATTTTCACACTGTATTAGCCATTCTTTGAGGGACTTTATTTTTTCTTTCTGGAAGTGAAATGAACAGACCTATTGGTATTAGGCTTAATGTATAAAATGTTGGCACCATTTGAAATTTTTCTCATTTTTAAGATTGCCAAATTGAGAGCAAATCTAAAATTAAATTAAAGAAAGATTTTAAAAATTTATTAGAATATAAGTGTAGTCATGTAATGCTTGGTTGTTAACTACACATAATTCTACTGAAAAAATGATTAATTGCTACGCCATTCCGTCTTTGACACAATACATCAAAACTTAATTTCACCTAATAAGTAATAGTACATTTTAATTTTATTCCTCTTTCAAAGACTTGACTTTTTATGTTTAGAAACGCATGACATCGTTGCATATTGTAAGGCACAGGGGATGTCTGGAATCAGATTAGAGTTTACTTTTTATCTAAACTTAGTTGCTGTTGACTTGGAGACGTTACTTCACTTTTCTGAGCCTCAGTTTTAGGATTCTCTTGATGACCAAGGGAGAAAGTGTTCATAAGCATTTGGCACAATGTAGGTTTGACTCAAGTTTAACTCTTTTTTTTTTTTTAATTTTATTTATTTATCTTTAGAGGGGAAGGGAAGGAGAGAGGGAGAGAAACATCAATGTATGGTTGCCTTTTGTGCGTCCCCTGCTGGGAACTGGCCTGCAGGGAACCTGCCTGCAACCCTGGTATGTGCCCTGACTGGGATTCGAACCGCGATTGTCTGGTTCGCAGGCCCCCGCTCAATCCACTGAGCTACACCAGCCAGGGCTCAAGTTTAACTCTTGTAGGAACCAGAAGCCACCATAGAGATCATCTAATTTTCTAGCCCGTGAAACTAATTTGTGGATCTTAAATAATAATTTTTAATTTCATTTTTTAAATAGCCAGCTCATTAAGATGTATTTCACATGTCATAAAATCCACTCTTATAAAATGTATGGTTCATGAGTTTTTAGCATATTCACAAGATTTTGTACCCATCACTGCTATATAATACCAGAGGGGGGTTTCATTACCCCCAAAAGACAA